ATATGACACATTTGCTTTTAACTATTTTTATTGTAATATCAGTTTGATTATTTTGATGATACCCTTTAAACAGCTGTTGATAATTGACTCTGCAACTACATATCAACAAGTGGTCATTAGAGTATTAGTATGTCTACTACTGTAAATATTTGCTAACACTTTATTTTGATGGTCAACCAACAGATAAACTGACTATAAGTGTCTTTGCAAGTACGTCAACTTATTATACCATACTAGATTCTACCATTCTTGAGCATACTAATACACTAATGAGAGTTAGTTGGCATGTAGTTGCTTATAGTCGATTGATTAAGGGGACCATCAAAATAAAATGTAACCATATAAAACATTGCATTTTTTTCAGTTGGAGTATAAAGCTCACATCAATGAATTAACATTAGCTACACAGGAAACACTCAACATCTCACCACTCACAAGCTGTAGTAAGATACTGTGCAGATCTTAAATAAACAATGTCAAGATATGATACAGTCCATTATTCTGTAAATGAAGTAGATTTATTATGGTGTTCATTGTGTGTTATAAATAATCATACTCTTAAACTGATAACCACAAATATGTAAGTATTATGATGTATTATAACTGTTGTTATGATTATTCATGAGTTGATATAACATATTATACGTTTTTTTTATAATGCATTATGCATTCATTATAATGCCTTAAGAATACCCTTATAATGTATTATAAATACGGGCTTCATAGAAAGTGTTACCAAATTTTGTTCACCAAGAAACTTTGCATTGTCTCATGAACCTTTACATTCTGTCGCAAAACTTCAGGGTTCCTCCAAGAAACTTAACATTCCCTCACTAAACGTTTGCGTTCCCCCTAGAAACTTTGTTCCCTCACAAAGTGTTTGCTTTTTGACACAAAACTTCAGAGTTCTCCTGAGAAACTTCACATTCACTCGCAAAACCTTTGCGTTCTGTCACAAAACGAGTGAATGCAAAGTTTCTCAGGGGGTGCAGACGTTTTGTGAAGGGGGCTCCATATTGTATGATGTCGCAATACATTTTGAAAATACAAGAAAAAAGCTTTAGCATTTTCCTCTATTTGAATTATTTTCTCATTTTTAAATCATTGGATAAAAGTGTCTGCTAAATACATAAATGTAAATTTCACCTAGATACATTATCATCAGTTGGTGTGCTGTACTGTATATTTAAAAGATTTGTTCCCCCTAGTAGGATCAATATTCCTGTCAATCAATCTGATTTTACTAGGGATATTTATTGAGGTTTGGTCCATCATGACTGTTTAATGGAATGGACCAAAAAAGCATCCAGACAGCACTGGATTTTCTGTTTAACGTCATAGTCATTTTTTTTCTCTCCTTATAGATATTACAGTTCTTCGACTACTTTTACATACAGTGTTGTTTATGTTAACTTAAACTATTTAAAACCGTTTTCATTAAAGGGGTCATATGATGCTATTTTAAAGATCATTTTGTGTATTTGGTGTAACAGAATATGTTGGCATGCTTTAATGTTCAAAAAACACATTATTTTTCAAATACTGTACATTATTGTAGGTCCTCTATGCCCCGCCTCTCTCAAACACGTCGTTTTCAACAAAGCCCCCTCCTTTGACCAGCGCAGTCTGCTCTGATTGGCCAGCTGACCCAGTGCATTGTGATTGGCCGAACACCACAAGCACGCGTCGGAAATTACGCCCCTTACCATAATCGCAGCTTCAGCTTTCAAAGTAAATATCAAGACAGTTAATAATGTAGTTAGTTTTACCATCAGTTCAAGCCCGAAAGGGCAACAGAGTCGCGTGACAGACACAGTGATGATGCAGTACACAAGCCATGGTTAAGACAGCTGACGTGCTATGATTTCTGACAGGCAGTTCACTCTCCTGTGATGTGACCCTGTTCCCCTCACACACACAGACATGACGCGTTATTATCTGCGCAGCGCAAAACTCCACATTTGAACAGTCAATAGCAAATACTTAAACTAATAACAAAACATACTTACAGTCGCTGATTCAGAAAACTAATAAAAATTATAAAAGCTAATGACAAAATTAATATTAATAAAAACTGTAATAGTATATAAATAATAGTAAAATAACACTGGTAAACTGTTACTTTTATATGTGCTGTTTGTGCTTGGGCCCTTTGGGTGGGACAGAGGGCTGGTGGTGTGCTGTAAGCCGGAGCTTCAGATGGTCCTGGAGAGGAGGAAGAGAGAGCAGACCCAGAGAGAGGAGGGAGAGCAGAGCCGGAGTCCCCTGGAGCAGGTGCTGCAAGAACGCCAGAGCAAACATCAGGAGATGATGGTCAGCAGCCAGAGCACAGTGTGTGTGCTGAAACCAATCAAACACAAATGCTGTGATTGCACAATGAACCAGAAGGAATTCAACATTAAATCTGTAGTGTTAGTTAAATGGATTTTTTTTTTACATTGCTAGTATTACATGTTTCTTGCTTTATTTCTTGACTGTTAACCATGGTTTCCAGCATAGCTACCACATTATTTCTACTGTGTTATCATAATAATTTAATATGCACAAACTGTGCATTCACAATCTTTAATGTAATTTTGTTTACCACACTGTAGACATATAGGTGGAAATGTTTGTTGCATGGTCAGTTTTAAAGGTGAGATTTTCATCAGTTTTGTTAGTCTTCTGTGTTTTGTGATTTGTCCTGTTGTTTCTCAGAAGGAGAAGGAAGAGGAGCAGAGGTTGCATGAGGAGGTTCAGCTCTTGGAGTTCGTCCGAGTGAGACAGAACCTGAGGAAAGTCCACACAGCTCTACAGAAGAACCTCCACTCCTGAATCTGACCGGCGCTGATCTGACTAAAGGCATGCTTCATTTAGCCATTCAGCTTCATTTGCAAATAAAGTACACAGTGTTTCATTATAATCATTATTATCTTGTTAATTAACAGTTCATTACACTTTTCATTTGTGTTCTGCGATAATGAAATAATGTTCAAATAACTCAAATATCATTATTATTACTACAATTATTGGTAAGTACTATAAAACCGCATGAAATCTGCTGAAATCATTCGGTCATTTTGTTGAACTTTTTGTGTTGAGAGTGGCCTGTACAAAGTTATCAAATAGGTCATTAAATAAATAACACCATTCTACCATGGAACATGTTGAACTACACGGTTGTCGTATCCATGTTTTTGATAATTTATTCACCTTTTGTAGAGAGTCAGCAAACACTTTACAGTCACCTTTACTTCTAAAAGCTGTAATGATGCACTAAAAGCTTGTGTTTAATAAATGACCTGAACTGCTTTCAGTGGCTGCTATTTCTTTTTAGTTGCAAACATTTTAGGTGTATGATACACAGCAGACAGAAGAGATATAAAGCTAGCATATGGACAGTAAACACTGATTCACTAACAAAGATCAAGGGTCAGTTTTTAACATCACAGGATCACTACTGCAATGCCTACATATTCCAACTTTATTAGTCCTTCTATAAAACAGGCTTCATGCATGACTTTTATTTTAAGGAACAATGACTGCAGCACTGCTGGGACAGTATCGAGAGAGAATCCGGACTGAACTGGACAGAGTCGTGGATTTCTGGCTGAAATATTCCCATGACAAAGAACAAAGGTGAAATGATTCATATTTTGATACATGGGTTTAGCAGTACTTCACTATAATTCTTTAAATGTCTAACTGGATGCTAAAATATTTGTATAATGTAAGCCTGAATGATTAATGCTGAAGCATTGAAATTGTCCTTAACACTGAACCCTGAGGGACACCCATCATTCAAACAGTATTCGTATGAAATATTTTGAAATTATTCATTATTTAAGGCGGATGTACTTACTTTGCTAAGTTATGTGTTAAAGTTCATTTAAAAATTAATTAATTTAACACGTGGATTAAATATAATGCCCCTGCTAAATGTTTGTTTCATTTTATTGACCTTAGTGGTTTTTTTAACTGCCTTGGAAAAGATGGGAAGGTCTATGATGAGCTGAAATATGTGTGGTTGCAAGGGAGACAGGTTAGATTTTTTTTTCTATTTTAGTTTTTATTTTCAAGTTCTGTCTATTCCTATATTACAGTTTTTCTCAGTCGCTTTGGTGCATTTCTCAGATCAGAAACGAAATTCTCAAAACTACTCATCATCTAGTCAATTGTGCACATCATAAAAGCAGTTTCTCATTCTTTTGAACAAGTTGCGATTGCTCTGGTACATTAATGCAATTGAATATGTACATTTGTCTGCGGTTTCCTACATTATCAGTTGCTAATGTCATGTTGCTCAAAATGTACTGTACTATATAGTTCTCTGTGCAACAGTCTTACCCCCCAAAACATCTAGTCATTAGTTCATCGTATAAGTCATTAAATGCATAATGGTTGATCTAGTTATCTTAAATAATCAAGCATATTTTCTACACATTTCTATTAGACTTTTTGTAAATTTGCCATGAATTGTGCAGGTGAATCTTGACTTTCACTAATGAAGAGAATGAAGATCAGCTAATGATAAACCAGTTCTCTGAAATAGCTCAAAGGTGCATCTCATGAACCTTCAATTGGAAAGCATGTATAGACAGAGGACAACACAAGAGTTACAACTTATGACAATGGATATTTCCTCGCTGTTGGCCTGGTAAATCAACAGTAGCTCTGTGGCCGATGACATTTCAACCACGCCTTCTGCTTTTGATCAGGTTGAAGCCAGCCTCATCCACATATATGAAGTTGTGAGATGGTTCACTTGACTCCAGTTCCACGTTGCATTGCAAGGGAAGATATTCATTGTGATGTAGATGAGAATCTGTGGGCCGACAGACTGGCACGTCAGGAGATGTAGACGGACTGCACTGCAATTCCTCATACAGTGCTGCGTGCAAAAGCAAAGTTCTGCCTAAGGGGTGTTTCCTGTGTTTGCCTTTCTAATTTTGTATTTTGTGCCCATATTTCTTTACTATATCACAGTGACGTTGTAATGCTTTTTTTTATTTGTTTTTGTCAGACCACTAGTAAAGTGTAACTGTAACTATCCAGTCTCTTTCAATCAATATCCCACATACAGTAATGTGTATATTTTTACTTTTGTTAATAAAAATAACAATTGGTCCCTCTGTAAATTCTCTTTGCCACCGTGAAATCTTCTCAGTCTCCCAAAGTGTAAATAGACGGCCGGGAAGTAAGAAAACACACATTCAGTGGTATTCTCAATACTTCATTTTATTCATAGAAATACAGATATTATATAGGCATATGTCGAGGGGAGTTTCATCCTCTTAACCAATGAGGATATGAATAACATACACAAAGGATCTTTGGCCAAGAAGATGTTTATATAAAATGGCCACCTGTACAGAAAAACATGGACATATTAGGAATAGTCTTTTGCGAAGAATGCTGAACTGTCTTCAGAGTTTCTCTCGAACACCTTTACCCTTGTAGTCCTAACATTCATGTCTTTATTGGGGCAATTAAACCAAGAAAACTAATGTATACATTTAAGCATGCATACCTCGCATATGAGTAAGAGATATTTAAAACATAATACAAGAGAGAGAAATGGATACAGGAGGGGGAATAAGAGAGAGGGGGAAAAAAGGAGGGGTGAGGCATATCTGGAACATTCTCTTAACAAGACAGAGAGTGTTTTCTAACAACTTTTGAAGTGGATATATGGCATACATAAGAAGTGCAGCCTTCTGCATTTCAATACAGTAACTGCCATCCAAACTGTTGCCATAGTTTACTTTAGGTAATACTAACAGAATGCACTGTTATATTGACAACATGACTAAGCATTTTGACTATCTTGTTTGTGAACAATGACACAAGGATTTTCATTCTGATGGCACTGATATGTTCATTGACATAAATACTTACTTTTGAGAGATGAACTAAAGATTTTGAGTAAGTTACAGGCTTTTGCAGGTGATCCGTTGTGTGGTGCTGTTTGTATGAATTGTTTTGAGAAATGCACATATTTGCAAATATTAAGGATGATTCGAGAAATGCACCAAAGCGACTGAGAAAAACTGTAATCATAAGTGCTTTTTCTTTTTTTTTTGGTCCCAATAAAATCTGTGTTAAATTGAGTGTCTGATGTCTAACATATCCACTAGGTCTGGATGTACAGCAGGCTGTATCGTACAATGGAAAGATTTCACAGACCTGAGATTCTTGACGCTGCTAAATCAGGTTTGGGATTCAGTTTCTTAGTTGCTTTTTCCATCCATCCATCCATTTGAGTAATGATGCTGAAAATTCAGCTTTGCCATCACAGGAATAAATGATATTTAAAAATAGAAAGCAGTTATTTTAAATTGTAATAATATGTCACAATATTATTGTTTTTACTGTACATCCAGACCTCTATATGCTCACCAAGGCTACATTTATTTGGTCAGAAATAGAGACATATTATATTCAGAAACTGCATCTGCAGAAATTACAAAATAAAAAGAGTGATCATAACAATTGCATGTTTTTTATTTATTTAGTACTGCCCTGAAAAAGCTATCGCACGAAACAGATTTTTATAGTTGACATACAGTAGTTCACAAGACTAAATAATTGAATTTACCCAATTGACCCTGTTCAAAAGTTAACATGTAAAGATGTATATGTACTTAACTATTTTTTTATGTATTAAAACTAAAGCTTCAGAAAAATGTCACGTAACATAAAATGGGCTCCCACACTTTAATAATAAACTATAAACTGTCAAACTTTTTTTTATTATTTAATCTTGCAACTTTGATTTGAACTTGGTAATCGCACAGATTTGCTGTGATCCTGTTACATCAGACAGTCTTGACTTTCAGGTGCTGCATTTCTGCAAAAGTTTGCTCGAGTTCAGACCTCCAGCGGCCCGGGGAAATGTGCCTTCTGCCTGACGAGAGACGGGCGAGCAGTGAAGGTTCAAAGGACGATATTCAGCGAGTGTTTTTATGTGATGGCCATGGATGAGCTGTCCAGAATTACACAAGACCAAGAGATGCAGGTAAAACTATTAGTCAGTATCTCACCTAGAACTTAAACTGGGTTAAATAATAATGACATAATGTATTGAACTGAGTATGACTGATGTGCTTTATAGATTTGTATTAAAAAGTGAACCCTTTTAGTAACTTTTCAGCATGTTTTTAATCTGTTTTCTCACCTTTGATGTAAATGTCAGAATTAGTTGATAGTATATATTTCATGGTCAGGTGTCAGATGTTTGTCCGTGTTCTCCACAGGCAGATGCTGAGAGCATGATGGATCGGTTGATATTCTGGGTACAGAAGGATTCATCAGATCTCAGTCGTCCTCAACAAAACTAAAGCTTCAGAAAAATGTCACGTAACATAAAATGGGCTCCCACACTTTAATGATAAACTATAAACTGTCAAACTTTTTTTTTATTATTTGATCTTGCAACTTTGATTTGAACTTGGTAATCGCACAGATTTGCTGTGATCCTGTTACATCAGACAGTCTTGACTTTCAGGTGCTGCATTTCTGCAAAAGTTTGCTCGAGTTCAGACCTCCAGCGGCCCGGGGAAATGTGCCTTCTGCCTGACGAGAGACGGGCGAGCAGTGAAGGTTCAAAGGACGATATTCAGCGAGTGTTTTTATGTGATGGCTATGGATGAGCTGTCCAGAATTACACAAGACCAAGAGATGCAGGTAAAACTATTAGTCAGTATCTCACCTAGAACTTAAACTGGGTTAAATAATAATGACATAATGTATTGAACTGAGTATGACTGATGTGCTTTATAGATTTGTATTAAAAAGTGAACCCTTTTAGTAACTTTTCAGCATGTTTTTAATCTGTTTTCTCACCTTTGATGTAAATGTCAGAATTAGTTGATAGTATATATTTCATGGTCAGGTGTCAGATGTTTGTCCGTGTTCTCCACAGGCAGATGCTGAGAGCATGATGGATCGGTTGATATTCTGGGTACAGAAGGATTCATCAGATCTCAGTCGTCCTCAACTTCCTGGTGATCCGCCAATCAACAGCATGGCAGTTCCCATGATGCTCCTGTGCCTGGTAGATCAGCAGACGGGCGAGCAGTGAAGGTTCAAAGGACGATATTCAGCGAGTGTTTTTATGTGATGGCCATGGATGAGCTGTCCAGAATTACACAAGACCAAGAGATGCAGGTAAAACTATTAGTCAGTATCTCACCTAGAACTTAAACTGGGTTAAATAATAATGACATAATGTATTGAACTATGACTGATGTGCTTTATAGATTTGTATTAAAAAGTGAACCCTTTTAGTAACTTTTCAGCATGTTTTTAATCTGTTTTCTCACCTTTGATGTAAATGTCAGAATTAGTTGATAGTATATATTTCATGGTCAGGTGTCAGATGTTTGTCCGTGTTCTCCACAGGCAGATGCTGAGAGCATGATGGATCGGTTGATATTCTGGGTACAGAAGGATTCATCAGATCTCAGTCGTCCTCAACTTCCTGGTGATCCGCCAATCAACAGCATGGCAGTTCCCATGATGCTCCTGTGCCTGGTAGATCAGCTGACAGAGGGTAGAACTGATGTTGCAGAAAAGTACAAAGACCTGAGCGGATGGTGTGTGGAGCGGATACTACAGCATATACAGGTGAGCCAACAGAGTAAACAAGCTTCAGTGATGTGACCCTAAGCTCACAATGTGCCTATAATTCATCAAATAAAAAAAAAATCTGAGATAAAGGAAATACCAAATGATACATTATACTAAATTATTTCATCTCAGAGAGATGGAAAAGCTATTTTGGAAAATGTCACGTTGAATGGAAAGGAACTTCCTGGCTGTCAAGGGCGTTTGCAGAATCCTGGTAAATGATCATTTCAGAATTTAACAGGATGAATAAATAAATATGAATAAAGCCTCCTCATGAATTCTCAAATTAGTTTGTTAACTTGTTTATCTCCATCTGATAAAGAATCTTGCAGTAAATCCAACCTCACTGCCACTTTCCTCAAAAGTTCAGCATCTGTTACTATCAGTGGCGTCTCTCTCTCTGATGGGTTGAAAAAAAAAAAAAAAGTGTTAATGTGAGCTTATAATGTGGGGAAACGAGCCTGAGGCCTGCATTTTTCTGTCTCTGTGTTTCTCCTGTCATTCACATCATCTGCACCTCCACAGCTTCAGGAAATCATCAAAAGTTCTGCAAGAGAAGAACAAGTGTGTTTGTTTCTGATCATAGGCATTTGATGGTTACAAATAAAATGTGTGCTTGAGACCAGTGTGTACCTGTGTGTGGATCTGTAGATTTAGTCTTCTTGCATTCAGTAGCCTCTGTGGATTTAGCCTCGCTTTCGGTTTTCTGGCTCTTTCTCTTCCTCCTGGAGTCCTTTGACTTGCTGCCACGACCTGAGCTTCTCTGCTCCTGCAGCTCAATCTGAAACACACCAAATGAGCCAAGCCGGATTATGAGGGGTCCAAAAGGGCAGCAAAATAAGAAATATTTCTGAATTAAGACAAGCAAAAAATAGTGTCTAGACCAGCTTTAACACTCTTTCAAATGAATCCCACTCTGGTGGCTAAATAGTGTTGCTTATATATAGAAAGATACCTGGAATTAATATATTTGTCAACATGGACAATGGCGCTTTCAAACAAGTCATTGCCAAACATGTCACATGACCTATGAACAGGAAAATGCATTTGCTTTTAACAGAATTAATGTGCTAAATGTGACCCTGGACCACAAAACCAGTCATAAGGCTCATTTTTTAAAATTGAATAAATAAGCTTTCCATTGCTGTATGGTTTGTTAGGATAGGACAATATTTGGCCGAGATACAACTATTTGAAAATCTGGAATCTGAGGGTGCAAAAAAAAAAAAATCAAAATACTGAGAAAATCGCCTTTAAAGTGGTCCAAATGAAGTTCTTAGGAATGCATATTACTAATCAAAAATTAAGTTTTGATATATTTATGGTAAGAAATGTACAAAATATCTTTATGGAACATGATGATCTAATGATTTTTGGCATAAAAGAAAAATCGATAATTTTGACTCATACAATGTTTTTTTGGCTAAAAAGTAGAAAAGTAGTGTATTGACTATGTGAGAAAAAGCCATAACACTAATGGACAACGTCTGATGTCATAACAGTTCAGGTCAGGAGAGGACAAAAAAAAAAAAAGAATAAGGAAGGGAAATTAAAAGGAAAGAAAAGGGGAAAAGAAGATGAAAGAAAAAAAAGAACAGGAAATGCAGGGAATAGGACAAAAAAAGAAAGGGAAATGAAAAGATAAGGCAAAAAAAAAATGAAATTCAAGGAGTAGGACAGGAAAAGGAAAGCATATAATGCGAACAAGAAACAAATAAGGGAAAGAAAAATGAAATGAAGAGGAAATGGAATGAAATAAGAGAGGAAAAGAACAAAGAACGGAAAATGAAATGTTAAAGAAAAAGGGAGAAATTAAATTAAAGGACAATAAAATAATGAAAGGAAAATTAAATGCTAAAGGGCAAGGAAATGAAAGGACAAAGAAAAGAAAAGGAAAATTAAATGTTAAGGAAAAGGTCTGGTAATTTGATCTTGATTAGTCAAATGGGATTCAAATAATGTGCACGTGCCAAACCATACTTATGTATCAATTATGAAGTACCAAAAATGATTTTCACAGTATAAGTCTGATGGTCTGAGACTCTCCTCCCTCACCTGTATGAGTGTGCGCAGGGCATCATGGGGCGGCTGTGATGCCGCCTGTAGGATCCGGTAAATGCCGTGTGTCTGGTCAAGCATGACCTCCAGCAGGTCTCCTTCTAGCTGAAGCTCCTCCAGCTGTGCTCTGGTGGATGTGGTCAGCTCGATCACCGGCCCTTTAAGACACGGCACTAGTGACAACAGAGACTCCACCCCTGACAAGAGACAACAGCCCATAGGTGAAAAATAGGGATGCACCGATATGAACAGTGTTAATGTGAGCTTATAATGTGGGGAAACGAGCCTGAGGCCTGCATTTTTCTGTCTCTGTGTTTCTCCTGTCATTCACATCATCTGCACCTCCACAGCTTCAGGAAATCATCAAAAGATCTGCAAGAGAAGAACAAGTGTGTTTGTTTCTGATCATAGGCATTTGATGGTTACAAATAAAATGTGTGCTTGAGACCAGTGTGTACCTGTGTGTGGATCTGTAGATTTAGTCTTCTTGCATTCAGTAGCCTCAGTGGATTTAGCCTCGCTTTCAGTTTTCTGGCTCTTTCTCTTCCTCCTGGAGTCCTTTGACTTGCTGCCACGACCTGAGCTTCTCTGCTCCTGCAGCTCAATCTGAAACACACCAAATGAGCCAAGCCGGATTATGAGGGGTCCAAAAGGGCAGCAAAATAAGAAACATTTCTGAATTAAGACAAGCAAAAAATAGTCTCTAGACCAGCTTTAACACTCTTTCAAATGAATCCCACTCTGGTGGCTAAATAGTGTTGCTTATATATAGAAAGATACCTGGAATTAATATATTTGTCAACATGGACAATAGCGCTTTCAAACAGTCATTGCCAAACATGTCACATGACCTATGAACAGGAAAATGCATTTGCTTTTAACAGGATTAATGTGCTAAATGTGACCCTGGACCACAAAACCAGTCATAAGGCTCATTTTTAAAAATTGAATAAATAAGCTTTCCATTGATGTATGGTTTGTTAGGATAGGACAATATTTGGCCGAGATACAACTATTTGAAAATCTGGAATCTGAGGGTGCAAAAAAAAAAAAAAAAAATCAAAATACTGAGAGAAAAAACAGTCATTGCCAAACATGTCACATGACCTATGAACAGGAAAATGCATTTGCTTTTAACAGGATTAATGTGCTAAATGTGACCCTGGACCACAAAACCAGTCATAAGGCTCATTTTTAAAAATTGAATAAATAAGCTTTCCATTGATGTATGGTTTGTTAGGATAGGACAATATTTGGCCGAGATACAACTATTTGAAAATCTGGAATCTGAGGGTGCAAAAAAAAAAAAAAAAATCAAAATACTGAGAGAAAATTCTAAATACTGAAAAAGTCGCCTTTAAAGTGGTCCAAATGAAGTTCTTAGCAATGCATATTACTAATCAAAAATTACATTTTGATATATTTACGGTAAGAAATTTACAAAATATCTTTATGGAACATGATGATCTAATGATTTTTGGCATAAAAGAAAAATCGATAATTTTGACTCATTCAATGTTCTTTTGGCTAAAAAGTAGAAAAGTAGTGTATTGATTATGTGAGAAAAAGCCATAACACTAATGGACAACGTCTGATGTCAACAGTTCAGGTCAGGAGAGGACAAAAAAAAAAGAATAAGGAAGGGAAATTAAAAGGAGAAGAGAAGATGAAAGAAAAAAAAGAACAGGAAATGCAGGGAATAGGACAAAAAAAGAAAGGGAAATGAAAAGATAATGCAAAAAAAAAATGAAATTCAAGGAGTAGGACAGGAAAAGAAAAGCATATAATGCGAACATGAAACAAATAAGGGAAAGAAAAATGAAATGAAGAGGAAATGGAATGAAATAAGAGAGGAAAAGAACAAAGAAAGGAAAATGAAATGTTAAAGAAAAAGGGAGAAATTAAATGAAAGGACAATAAAATAATGAAAGGAAAATTAAATGCTAAAGGGCAAGGAAATGAAAGGACAAAGAAAAGAAAAGGAAAATTAAATGGTAAGGAAAAGGTCTGGTAATTTGATCTTGATTAGTCAAATGGGATTCAAATAATGTGCACGTGCCAAACCATACTTATGTATCAATTATGAAGTACCAAAAATGATTTTCACAGTATAAGTCTGATGGTCTGAGACTCTCCTCCCTCACCTGTATGAGTGTGCGCAGGGCATCATGGGGCGGCTGTGATGCCGCCTGTAGGATCCGGTAAATGCCGTGTGTCTGGTCAAGCATGACCTCCAGCAGGTCTCCTTCTAGCTGAAGCTCCTCCAGCTGTGCTCTGGTGGATGTGGTCAGCTCGATCACCGGCCCTTTAAGACACGGCACTAGTGACAACAGAGACTCCACCCCTGATAAGAGACAACAGCCAATAGGTGAAAAATGATTAAAAACAGCTTGATTACTCATATCAGGGAGGTCTGTGAATGACTGAAGCAACTAACCTGTAATGTCATGAATGCCTGACTTCTTAGCAACTCCATTCTGACAGCCAGACTGGACAAGAAAAATAAGCTTTTATAAAATGCCTAAAATGTAAAAGAGGCCTAGATTTTTACATCTGCTTGATTTCATAAATGTTACAACTGCACTTGCTCACCTGTGAACCATTAGCAGCCTTCTCTTCACTCTTTTTTGGTGAGTTCACGTCCTCTGTCAGATCAATAACACCATCTTCTGTTTCCTCCGAGTCAGACAACACAATTACAGTATTCCCATTCCATTTGTTTTTCTCCTCTGGCTCGTCCTCTTTTATACTGCTCATTTCCTCCTCCACTTGTTGGAGTCTCTCTAGCGCTCTCTGTACTTCTGGAGTGTCTAGTGCCTGTTTGGCTCGACCCTGCCAGTTAATGGCTCTCTCTGTAAGACACTGTAACGCCTCTCCCTCTGGCAGGCGAACAGGTAACTTCTGTAGTGCCACCAGCAGCGCTAGAATGGTTTCCAGCCGTGGCCGCCGGGACCGTTGGCACCGTGGACAGAGGAAACGTGTGTTCCAGTCCCACCAGCAGAGGGGCTTTGTAAGATTTGTTTCCGAGGAGCCCAGCAGTGCTGGGAAGGGCACACAACCTCCATGGAACCAGTCTTTGCACAGATGGCACCGGTGAAGCAAGGGGCGGGGCGGGCCATTGCACACACACACTGATTGGCTAGAGGTGAGAGAAGGGGCGGAGCCACCATTCTGCAGCAAGGTGCCGTCCGAGTTGTCTGTCTCCATAGAGTCACTCTGTGTCCTTTCCGTCTTGATGCCATTCTGATCACCGCTTGCTCCTTTTTTCACACCGGGTTTAGTAAGATTCACCTGCTGGAGGCGGAGGAGGGCCTCTTTCTCCTGACGCTCCCCTTCTT